CTGTCCAAGAGAGGGACAGGAGGGGGGCTTGAGCGAGTAGTTCCCCCTCTTTTATCTTTTTGAGACATGGTCTCTATGCAGTTCAAGTTGGACTTGAGAGCACTTTGTAGCCCAGGCTGGTCTCAAACTCACAATGATCCCGAGTGCTGAGTGTTCTCTTGTCCGCTATTGTTTCCTTATATTCATCCACCTCTTTCGTTTTGTTTTGGTTTTTTGGTGGTACCAGGGATTGAAATCTGGCCCTTGCACTTGCCAGGCAGGCACTTATTCCACTGAGCTATCTCCCTGGCCCGGGCCCACCTCTTTGCCCCTATAGTTATAGCTAGTGAAACTTCTATGTGGCCAGTTATGCAAGAGGTCCTCGGACTGGAGGTGTAGGTCAGTGATAGAATGCTTGACCAGCTCTGGGTTTGATTCCAAACACTGAAAATAAACAAAAGTCTATGGCAGTAATGGAGACCCAGCCTGACTGGATTTGCTGATGAATTGGATTTGTGGTATAAGAGAAAGAAAAAGAAAAGAAAAAAAAACGGGTGTGGGGATGAGATAGGGTCTCACCATGTAGTCAGGCTGGCCTCATACTCACTATGTAGCCCAGGCTGGCCTGGAACTCACAGCAATCCTCCTGCCTCAGCCTCCCAAGTGATGGGATTACAGGCATACACCCCCATGACCAGCTCTGACACCTCTTTAAGAGACCAAGGGATCAAAATAAATAAATACATACATACATAAATACATAAATAAATAAAATTTTTAAAAAAGAGACCAAGGGATCATCTCTTTGGTCCCAACTACCTAGGAAGCTGAGGCAGGAGGGTTGATTGAACTCAGGAAGTATTGCAAGACACCATCTCAAGGGGAGAAAAAAAAAAAAATTGGTAGCTGACTCCTGAAGTTTTGAACTGACTGGAAGGATAGAGTTGTATAGAGATGGGAAGGTGTCATCGAAGATAGGTTTAGGAAGATTGATCAGGAATTCTCTGGATTTGCTGACATGGAGGAGACAAAGATGTCAGACATGTGAGACTAAAGTTTTGAGAAGAGGGATGGGCCACAGATAGCAATTTTGAGTTGTTGGTATCTGAAAGAGATTTGGTATTTTGTCCTGGAAACAAGGTCTTACCCAGTCGTCCAGGCTGGCGTTGTGTGCTGATGCCAGGGTACGGCCACGAGCCTGCACACCTATCAGGGGTGGGATTTAAGGAGCTGAGAGAAGGACCGAGGACGAGCCCTGTGCGTATTGTCCTGTAACAACTCGGACAGAAAGGAGATACTGTGCCTGGAGCTACCAAAACACCAATGAAAATCAGAATGGTGGGACTGTGGCACCCCGGAAAGCTAGTGAAGAAATTGGGCCAGGGAGGAGAAGCCAGGTGAGGTGGGCTGGGCCTGTAATCCCAGCACTTGGCACGCTGAGGCAGGAGGACCAAGAGTTTATTTATTTTTTTAAATTTTTATTTATTTGTGTGTGTGTGTGTGTGGCCAGCTCAGCCCACCAGGGTGCGGGGCTGGCTGGCATGTGGTGCTGGGGGATTGAACCGCGGTCCCTGTGCTCTGCGAAGCTTGTTCTAAGTAGGTGCTTTAGACCACTGAGCCATCTCACCAGCCCCAAGGACCAAGAGTTTAAACCCACCGGTTTAGCTCTGGGTTCTGGAAGCCTGCAGATACCTGCTGGCAGAACTGGAGGTTCTATAGTAAACACCTGCCACGGATCATTTTGGGGGCGCTCTTGGAGATCCAGCCATAAAACCATTTGTTAAGTGATGTTTAATGCCAGTGTTGATAATTTTTTCATGTTAGGAGAAATTGTGTGGTTCATTTAAAAAAAAATATGTTTAGCGCTGGTTGTGTTGAGTACTGTCCTCAGATGCGTGTTATTAGCTGAGTACTGTTACCTGGGCTTGGTGGCTACCTGTTCAGGGTTCGGTATTCCCTAAAACCTAGAGATGCAGAAAAGCAAGAGCTCAATTTGGTTAAATTTTGTTTATTATTATTGTTTTTTTTTCTTTTATTTATTTATTTATTTTGTGGGGGGGGGCAGCTCAGCCCACCAGGGGGCGGGGCTGGCTGGCATGTGGTGCTGGGGATTGAACCGTGGTCCCTGTGCTTTGCTAAGCTTGTTCTAAGTAGGTGCTTTAGACCACTGAGCCATCTCACCAGCCCTATTATTGTTTTTTAATGTATTTAGTACAGGGTCTACAGGGTCTCACTACACAGGTTGTACTCATAGTGATTCTCCTGTTTTCAGTCTCCCAAGTGCTGGGATTACAGGCACGCCACCAAGCCCAATCTCATTTGCCTGTCTCATTGCTCCCTAAGGGCAGCAGGGCTGACCTGGCAGGCCAGGGATCGAACCCCCAAGTCCTGCATCTGTCTAAGCAGGCGCTTTAATCCACTGAGCTATCTAGCCAGCCCAGTTTAATTTTTTTTTTTACCGCTTAGGAGGAAAAAAAATGAGTTAAAGGCCAGCCTTTGCTATATAGTGGGAGACCCAGTCTCAAAAGAAAGAGGGGAGAGATCTATGGGGGACTGTTACATTTGGACACAGGAGTCAGCGGCACCTTTGATAAGAGTGATTTTGGATGGGTGACATCAGTAAAGTCCTGTGTGGAAAGTGGTTAGAAAGGGAGGAACACCAGGTGTGGTGGCACACACCTGTAATCCTGCACCTGGGAGGCTGAGCCAGGAGGGTCACCCAGAATTTTTTTTTTTTAATTATTATTTATTTATTTGTGTGGCCAGCTCAGCCCACCAGGGGGCGAGGCTGGCTGGCATGTGGTGCTGGGGGATTGAACCGCGGTCCCTTTGTTTTTGCTAAGCTTGTTCTAAGTAGGCGCTTTAGACCACTGAGCCATCTCACCAGCCCCTTTTTAAAATTTTTTATTTATTTAGGATAACCCAGAATTTGAGGCCAACCTGGGCTATATAAGGGAGTTTAAGGCCAGCCTGTACTATGTAATCAAACCCTGTCTCAAAAAAAGAGGAAAGCTGGACACAGTGGGCCACCCATAGGAGTTTGATATCAGCCTGCTGCTCTGGGGAGAAAAATAAAAGAGGAGTAGACGCCAAAATTATAGGCAATTCTGGGCCAGGGTATGGCTCAGCAGCACAGTGCCCACCTGGCAAGTGCAAGGTCCTGAGTTCAGTTCTTTTTTTTTTGAGATCGTTTCGGCCCCAAGACCTTTAATCATTCGCTTTACCGGATAAAACCGCGACGCGGGTGTTTGCCTGCCACCGCGCCAGCTATCCTGAGGGAAACTTCGGAGGGAACCAGCTATTAGATGGTTCCATTAGTCTTTGGCCCCTATACCCAGGTCGGACGACCGGTTTGCACGTCAGCACCGCTACGGACCTCCAGCACTTTCTGCTGGCTTCGCCCTGCTCAGGCATCATAGTTCACCATCTTTCGGGTCCTAACACGCGCGCTCCTGCTCCACCTCCCGGCGGCGCAGCGGGCGAGACGGGTGGACTGGAGAGGCTGAGTTCAATTCTTGATACCCTCCCCAAAAAGTATAAGCAATTCTTTTTTTTTCTTTTCCCCTCTCTTTAGGCTTTCTTTTTTTATTATTTCTTTTTCTTTAGTTTTTTTTTTCTTTTTGGCAGAACCAGGGATTGAACTCAGACCCTTGTGCTTGCCAGCGAAGCGCATATTCCACTGAGCCATCTCCCCGGCCCCAGTATTTCTTTATGTATTTATGCATGTTAGGGAAGGGTCTACAGGGTGTTCAGGGTCTCACTACTAGATCAGACTCATAGTGATCCGCCTGTTTACAGCCTCCCAAGAACTGGGATTAGAGGGCTGTCACTATGCCCAGTCTCAATTGCCTCTCAGCACTCCCGGGGATCAAAAGCCCTCCCAGTGCTTTAATCAGCTGAGCTATTTGGCTGGTCCTTCTCTCACTACACAGATCTGGATTTGGATTTGTAGTGATCCTTCCTGTTTTTCAGCCTCCCAAGTGCTGGGATTACAGGCGCACACCACCATGCCTGGTCTCAATCACCTGGCTCAGCCAGCCTGGCATGGAGGCCTGGGATCAAACCCCTCGCCCCTGTCTGCCCAAGCAGGTGCTTTAATCCACTGAGCTATCTGGCCTGCTCCCTTCTTTTTTGAGACAGGGTCTCCCTGTGTCATTCATGATCTTCCTGCCTCAGCCTCCCCAGTGCTGAGATTGCAGGTACATGCCACCACACCTGGCTGTAGTATAGACAATTCTTTCCACGAGTTTTGCTTCAAAGAGGAGCAGAAACATGAATGGTGGCCTGGCATGGAAAGTAGGGAGAAATTCTTGTGTTTTGTAAAATGGGAGAATTAACATGTTTGTTTTGTTACATGTTTGAATGTTGTTGAGGATGCTCCATAGATACAAAAAAAACCAAATGGCAAGGAATCAGAGGAGCATTTTGGGGACAGTGTCTTTGTGTGTGTGTGTGTGTGTGTGTGTGTGTGTGTGTGTATAACCGGGGATTTGAACTCAGGCTCTTGCGCTTGACAGGCAAGCGCTTATTCTACTGAGCCATCTCCCCGACTCTTGGACAGTGTCTTTGAGAGGGCACTGGCAGACCGACGTGCAGAGGCACTGTCCTTTGATCCCACTGAGACCAACCCATTGATCCTGGCACTTGAGCCTCAGTCACTTGATGTCCCCTTTCTGTAGCTGATGTGGGACCCTGCCCAAATGCTTTGCTGTCTCCTTTGCACACATAGTCGGGCCCCTGGCCCCTCTGTGGCTTTGGAACCCTTGTTTGGCCCTGCAGGCCCACAGGTTGGCAGTGTCGGTGGGGCTTTGGGGTTCAGGGGCGCAAGCTGCCCATTTGGATGTGATGCATAGATGGGGTCCTGCAAGGCTGTGGTACTGGTTTGGGTCGTGACTGAGGCGCTGTGTAAGAGGAGTGCAGCCCAGCTACTCGGGAGCCGGGGGAGGATCCCCCAGTGAGTGTAGGAGTGTAGGTTCAGCCTGGGCAGCCAGGAGACCCTGCCCCCTCTGTTTTTCCTTTCCCCCCCAGTGCTGGGGGTCAAGCCCAGGGCCTCCCATGTTAGGCAAATGCTCTGTGCCTGGGGCTCTCCCTGCAAAACCTCTGTCTCATAAAAACAGAACCTGAAAGTAGGGTGGAGGCAAATCCTTGGAAAAGCTTTTAAGAAGTGACTGAGATTTGAGGCAGGAGCTAGGGGAGGAGCTGAGAGTTTGCTGATTGTAGCAAGCCAGCTTTTCCGGAGGGAGTGAGGGGGTGAGGGGGTGGGCACAACACCCCAGGCCTGGATGCTCTTCATGGGGACTGCTCTTCAGCCCCACGATGCTCAGACTTGTGAGGGTTCTGTTTCCCTGTGCACTCTGTCAACACCTCAGGTTGTCTCTTTTTGTAACTCTCAGTTTGGTTCCTGTAAAGTATTATCTCTATCTCAAGCTATTTTACTGTGTTTTTCTTATTACTAATAAGGCTGAGTATCTTGTTAACCATTCAGAGATCCCATCCTTTTTTTTTTTTTGGCGGAACCGAGGATTGAACTCAGGCCCTTGCGCTTCACAGGGAAGCGCTTATTCCACTGAGCCATCTCCCCGGCCCCAGGGATCCCATCCTTGTGGACACTGTTCACATCTTTTGCCCACTCACTAAGTTGACACAATGATTTTTTTTTTTAGAACTGAGGTTTGAACTCAGGCCCTTGCCCTTGCCAGAGAAGCGCCATCTCCCTGGCCCCAACACAGTGATTTTGTAGGAGCTTAGTAAAGAACTGAGAACTTTGGCTTGTTTTTCTTTTCTTTTTTTTTTTGTATTTGTATTGTAGATACCCAAGGGTCTACAGGGTGTTCAGGGTCTTGCTACTGGATTGGACTTGTAGTGATCTGCCTGTTTACAGCCTCCCAAGAGCTGGGATTACAGGCTTGCACCACGATGCCCAATCTCAGTTGCCCTCTCAGTGTGCCCCAGGAGCAAGGTCAGCATGGCAGGCCCGGGATTGAAGCCCTGGCCCCTGTGCCTGCTTTCAGGTGCTTTAATCCGCTGAGCTATTTGGCTGGCCCTTGTTTTTCTTTTTTCTTTTCTTTTTTTTTTTTT